CAAACGCACTGCAACTCTTTTCTACAAGGAGTTTTCCAATAAACCTTGTTTTCTCCTAATCGAGAAAGCACACAAACACAAGCTGTCATATCACGTATCTACAAACCTCTGAGAATTACACCACCATCTCCACAGGCAAAAATTCCATCTCGTTTATGATTCCGGGGCATACTTGGTACCAATTTCCATCCAAACCCGGTTGCCAATAACATCCTTCGTCGAATGTGTCAATAACGTATAGTTCTCCAAGAGTCCCGAAGTCATCTAGGAACATGGGATACACGAAATCCTCAACTCCAATCAGATCATCGCCGAAACCCGCACCATTCATAATTAGGTCCTGACGTTTTGTGAGACTGTGAGCAAGTTTCGATTGTTCATCATTTCGTGAATCTATTTTATTGTCGCGCTCATTTTTATGACGGTGGCTTGTGTCCTCGGGATCGAAAGATCGATCGACGACGTTGTGACAATTCAGTGAACTGGGGGATTGTGCAAGTTCTTCCAACGGAACTGCGGTAGTTTGGAGGAGGTGATTTACGATGAGAAAGGCTAAGACTAGACCGGTATGAGAAATTCTACCATTCATGATTTTCATGAAGAATGATTTACAATAGTTTGAAAGAAAGAGCACGAAAATAGAAAAGCTCGAGATATGGTACCTTTATACATTTCGAACCTTTAATTCTATCAGCATTCAAATTAATCTTTTAGAAATATGAATTTCGTTAAAGAATATGAATTCATTAAAGGAAATCTTTTTGTACACTCAATCCGCAATAAATTGCTTGATAATATATTGGTGACACTTTATCTCTTTATACACTAATTAGTTTTCATTATAGTGGATTCATGCATCTCTCGTGACCGGAGAAGATCTGTATACCTCTAACGCAAGTGAACCAATCCCCCTATCTGTGTACGGAAATGGGATGGTCGCAATATGACTTATTGTGGTACGCCTTTCGTAATGTATAACTACCAGGGGATGACAGGAATAGTGTGTTATTGTTCTTTTTTCATACCATGGACTATTTACGCCCTGATGAACGTTAAATGTTGCAATTTCTAAATTGAGTTACACAGACGATGCTAACATCAACAACATTGTAAACAATACTAATTAAATATTATTCGGTTTCATTGTACCATTGATTGCATATAAATAATTGTGGTTGCTTTGGAAGTGGTGAGTACCGCACGTCACGTACGTACAATTGCATTATTTCCTGCTTAACATTGCTTGTCTGCAGAAAATATAAATACAACCTTCGTGGGGTAAATAAGAGGGCCGTCTGACATTTATTAGACGATTTCTGTCACGATATTCGCCATTGTGGGTTTTAGGATTAGAAGAATATCTCATATTTTGAGACATTTTAATTTACTTTTGATCAGATCTGCCAAATTACATGATTCTTTTTT